CTAAGAATTGACCTCCCATGCAACACCATAACCCCCCTACTTGGAATGTACCCGAAGGAACTCCAATCACTCTACGAAAAAGATAACAGCACACACATGTTTATTGCAGCGTTATTCACAAAATCATGGAACCAACCACGCTGCCCATCAAAAGTGGACTGGATTAAAAAAAATGTGGTACGTATACATGATGGAATATTACACAGCCACAAAGAAAGACAAAATTGTGAACTTCACAGCAACTTGGATGGATTTAGAGTCTACAACACTCAGTGATCCATCACAGAAGCAAAGAACTGAGTATCACATGTTCCTCCTCACAAGTGGACCCTGAACAATTATCATAATACCACAAGAAAGGGATTGGTAGTATTGGGAGAGTGTCAAGCGAGGGAGTAGGGGACACACTTCATTGATAAGGGTACCTGATTTCAAACCAGGTGCAGTGTGGACCAAAGTGAGGTCCAAACTTTACCTGTACAATGACCATTTGTATGCCTAATGGTCTGAACTGTACCCATTTTTAAAATAAAAATTTTAAAGATAAAATAAAATAAAAATAATTTTAAAAATAAATAAATAAAAGAGAAAGCAAAATTCAAAAGAGTGAGGAGAAACTGCATTCCCTGGTGAATTCTCCTCTCATCTCTGGGTCCTCTAATGCTAATAGGAGTTGGCCACTGGTGTGTGGCTAAATGTATGGTCTTGGCTGATGCTTCAAGAAAAAGCATACAAAATCGAACTCCCTTTGTAATTGATGTTGACACCCCAATCGAAAAATGAGAAAAGGCATAAAAAGATATTTTTTGAGAGAAAAAATATATACATGACAAATAAATGTGTGAAAAAGTTAATCTGGCCAGAAATCAGAGGCATGTTCACTAAAGCAACAATGAAAATTGAAATAGATAAAGATTTTTAAAACTCTGAAAATATTGTCAGAATCCCCAAGCAGGGAAATTATATTAAAAATATGTATAGTGATAGAGTGGAATGCTATGCCAGCGTTAATATTATGTTTGCAAAGAATATAAAACTGTTTAATAATATAGAAATAATCACAATATGTGGAAATTAAAAAGCAGGAAAGAAACTGCACAAGCAGTATAATACCAATTGAAAAAGGTATGTTTATGAGTAGAAAAAAATATATACTGGAAGGAAATCTACCGGAACACTAATCACGTTGATTTCTGAGTGGTTATTTTTATTGCCTTTTTCTCTTCTTTCACATATTCTGAAATTTCTGAATGAGCATGTGCTATTTTGCTGATGAAGAGTGCCCAAACAAGAATCAGAGTTACCAGCTATTGAAGTCAAGCCTATATCTACAAAATGAAGAATTCAGAGCCATCTAGATGATTTCCGAGATTCTTTTGAGCTCTAACATTTGGTTTCTTGGCTGATTGATTGACTGCGTTCATTCATTCAACAAGCATGTGTAGAACATATAGAGACAACTCTGGACCATGCACTGATCCTTGGGCTTTTCAGAGCTAGACCCTGACCAGATTGGAAAGCAAAGTTGAAGTCTGGTGCCTGCTGGTGTCATTAGACCTGGCCTTTTCCTGCTAAGCTTTTAGTGACCTTATCTTCTCTCCCTTCTCCTATTCCCCTTGTCAAATGCTTTGCTCACGACAGAATTCTGACTTGGGGAGTAAAATGCTTAGTAACATCTTAAATTAGGACTACCTCTCCCAGAGGGACTTGACTAAGTAGAGATAAAAATGTTACCCTAAAAGAAGGAGGCCTTCTTGGCCAGTTTTTTTTTTTTTTTCTTAAGCTAGCAGATGGGAAAATGCTTAAGAGTAATCAGAATCTTTGCTATTTTACCCGTAAATTCCTACTAACTTCTCAAAGCCATTTCTGCCTCCCCCTCTTTCCTCTGTACTCCCAGAGAAACTAAGTTGCTCTGTTGTTACGGTGACACCTCCCTTGCACTGTAGTTTTTTGTTTGTGTGTCTTCTGGGTGAGGCTGTAAGCCCCCTGAGTGTTTCATTGTCCCTATACCCACAGTATCTACCCCAGGGCCCAACATACAGTAAGTGGCAGATGCATGACTAATTGAGCAACATTTCAAGTGCCCGTGACCTCCTTGCCCTGTGGACGGGGCTGTTTCTGAGTCTTTTTATTGACATCCATTATTAGCACTGCAGATAGGCTATACTTGACAGACTACAGTGCTTTTGGAGTTTCCTCAGAATGGGACAGCCCTTGTGTGAGGAGTTACAAGCTTCCAATCCCCAAAATTTCCTCAGACTTTTCAATCTGGGGAGGGCAACTCATCACTGGAGAGAGAAATCAATTGAATAGATTGAGATCAATTTTTTTTAAGGAAATTGAATAGAAAAGAGTTGTTTTGTTTGTTTGTTTGTTTGTTTGTTTGTAACAAATCCAAGTATTCCTCAAGTACTGTCCCATGGAACTTTTGTTTCAGTTGTGTTTGTGTGTCTGTGTCTCTGTGTACTAGGTCATAGTAGGTTACAACAAAAAACGTCAGAAGCCGCCTTCCTGAGCTGCTAGGAGGTTGGGAGCCGGCGTCTCTGGCAGCTGTTTGCATGTGGCTGAGACCACACTGCTTTGTAGGATGTCCCCTGCGGCTGCCTCCCCTTTTCCCTCCACCCACTGAAGAGTCAGAAGTCACAACCCTGGAACTGACAGAATATTTTTCTTAGTGCAAGCTTGGGTCCAAAGAATAAAGAGGACAAAATTGGTTGTTTTGACCCTGAAGAACGCTCAAGGGTTCATCTTCCCTCTTTCCTTGTATTCTTGGAATTTCTGGAACCATGTTTTACCCTGGATGCTGCACCAACCTGACAGGTATCTCAACAAAGGCCCACCCCACCAACCCTTCACGAGTGGAGCCCAGGCCTCCTCCCTGGTTTGGACTCTTGCGTGAGCAGTGCCTCTGGGCTATGTACCTTTCAGCCCTGGTGGAGATACAGCGGGCATCACCCAACCCAGGCTCACCAGCTGAGCAATTCTGTTGAAGGGAGACCCTTGAAACAAATTCTGTTGAAGGGAGACCCTTGAAACAAACAAACAGGGTATCTGGGAACACCTTGGGCATTTTCTCACTGACTACAGGAGTAGGGTACAGGCTAAGACTGCTTTCACCTACACTAGCTGTGTGAGCTTGGGTAACTTAGCCTTTCTGGCTCAGTTACCCCATCTATAAATAGGGATAATGACTATACCTGCTTCATAGAATTATTGTAAAGATTAAACAAGCTAACACACACCAAGTGCTAAGAGCAGTCTCAGCACATCACAAACATTTAATAAATATTATTATTATTTAATCATTTCTTAAGCCTATATGATGGGTATTTTTTTCATATTTATAGAAAAGAAAATGGGGCTCTGAGAAATTAAGGAACCTGTCCTGCATCATATGTCTAGTAGAGGCAAAGCTAGAACTTAAATCCAGGTCTCCTGATTCCAAGTTCTGGTTCCTTTTCCCCTAATGATGCCCTACTCCAGCCCTGAGAGCCATCAGGCTAGCTCCTGGGCTGAACTTCCCTCCATGGGTCTCTGCCTGGCCAGCACGTACACAGGAAAGGGGTGTTCTTGGTGTCAGAAGGGCTGGTGAGCCCAGGGGAAGTTCCTTCTCGTGATTTTGCTTGGGGGCCCAGAACTTAGTCTTTGGGGATATATATACTACTTTTTTAAAAAAATGATAGGAAATCAGAAATGGATGTCATTGCCTGCACCTTTTGGCATTCTCAGCTAACTGGACAGTGATGAGCACTTACGAGAAAAGCCTTATGCCGCCAATGAACTTTTCGTAAAAATGTCTCTCAATAATTGAGCGTGGCTGTTGGAGGCGGACACGCTGATGCAAGTGTTGATTTCACAGCTCCGCTCTGAGTCTTGTTCTTTTCCAGCCGGTGATTTCCCCATTTCTACAGTTCAAGGACCTAAGAACTGTCCCTGCTTTCTGCTCCGCAATCTGCAGAGGGAACTAGACTTTCACATTCAGCCCCCAAGGCAGAGATATTTTTTATGTATCTGGGATTGTTTTGCTGGATTTTATTACAATCGATTTCTTAAGAATTTAAATCCACATGGGTTTCACATGATAATTCTGTTAATGAAGCTATTTGATTATCCTGAGTTCTCCGATCGTGCTGGTGAATACACTGTGTAATTCCCAGATAGTCCTTTTCACAGATTTGCACCTGGGCTCCGCCAGGGGCCTGAGGAGGAATCTTGGTGCCCACAAGGATTCTTGGCACCCACAGGTGTTCCTAACGTGTGAGCCATCTTAAGCTGTCCAGGACGAACTACAGGAATAGTTTCTGGGGCACTCACGAAGGATTAGAATGCGGGCCCCAGCGCCAGGTTACAAACACACAGGCCAGGTCATACAGATAAAATAAGAACTGACTTCAGCATCTGCCCTAAACTCACACCAAGAACTTTCTGGGGGGAAAATTCTTATATATGAACATCTTCACACGACTACACTCTGTAATGCTGACTGGAAGCAAACACAGAGAGCAACACCATTCAGTGACAGTCCCCATCCGACCCACGAAAAGAGGCAAGGTCAAGAGACCCTGGCTTCACCAGGATTGTGGGGAGGCTTGGGGGAGCAGAGAGGGGAATTGGTACACTGAATGGAACCCACAAGTGACGCTTGAATTTCATTTCAGCCAACAATTTAAACAATTCTCTCCAGAAAACAGTGGCAGAGACAAGGGCTCCTGAAAAAAATCCAGAGGACCATAATGTGAAAGACCTTAACTCAGCCCCATCATAGGGCAACACATTCAATCCTCTCCATCTGAAGACTTGGAACCCACCCCTCACTGTTCACACATCCCAGCTTTGCAACAAGGACATCTTCGGATTTACAGGAGACTGACATGCAGCAGACTTCAGTCGTCTAGACACTCTCTGTGCCCTTGTTTCCACGTCCCAACCCCTGGCCAAAGACACACCGGGCCCCCATGCTCGCAGAGGCCGCGTGGTCAGCACACCCTTTGCTTACTTACCTCCAGCACGATTTCTTTCAGCTGGAACTGTTTTTGTGCGACCTTGTCCGAAGACACCGGCTCATGGTAGTAGAGGCAGAGCAAGTCGTATTTCTTCAAAATCTGCTTGAAGTTCTTCTCCGAAAGGCTTACCACTCGGTCCTTCCCATCATATGTGGGGAAATTAAGCCCCTCTTCTGCCCTGCAAGAGGACAGCAAATAGACCCCCAAAACGAACAGGTGAGTTCTCTTCATTTGGGAGAAGTTTTGCTTCTCGTTCCCAAAAATACCGTGTGCAAGAGAGAGGAAGGAAGATTCTCAGAGGCCTTGTTGAGCTGGGTGGGGAGCAGAAAAGCGGATTTTGCCTCTCTTCTTTGCCCTGCCTGGGGCCGAGAAGTAACTCTTCGCCTCCCTGGGTCCAGCTAGCACAGGACAAAGAGCGGAGGTTCACACGCACATGCGTGCCTAGAACGAGAGCCCGGCTAGGGAGGCTGGGAGGCCAAGCCCAGATACCTTACATAGCTCTGCCCAGCCCTTGTCTCATTAGGAACTCCATTTTTAGGATGCAGTTGTTTCAGGCTAAAAATAAATCATGCAATGAATAAAAAAGTTAGATATGACACTGTTGAGGGATTCGCTGATACAGTCTGTCAGAGTGGCGGAGACGGAGGAGGTGGAAGGAAAGAGACCAGCGTGCACACACGAAACACGGAGGCAGGAAAGGTCAAAGATGAGAAGGAAACCTGAGAGGGGCTGAGATAAGGGGCCGTGGTGCCAATAAGCAAATGGAGAGGTTAGAACCCACAGAAGGCCGCTCAGACATGACTGAGCTGTTCAATTACTCCAGGGAGGTCGTTCAGACTGTCCTCTGCTAGCAGACGGCTCCTCCCTGCTCCTCCCTGTCACATGGCGCAAAACCGAGCCCCAAGGTGGACTTCACGTTCGGCACCTGCCTTTTCCTGCCTCCTGTCCTCTCTTCTTAGAAACTTCCTGGCTGCCACGGGGCGAGGAACGCAGGGACGCCCCTTCCCACAGCCCTGAGTGCAGAGGGCTCCAGAGGCCCCAGCCCGCCCCCGTTGCCAGGTCCTCCCCTGCTCTCCCTGCCCATTGCCGAGCCCTGCTGATGCCAGGAGAACTTGCCCTCATCGTAAAATTAAGTAAAACAAGGACCAGCATTCTCCCTAAGAAACATCCCTAGGTTTTCTGCTATCATCACTCCCTGTCTTACTGCTTTTTTTACATTAACCCTGAATGTATAATTTTGCCTCTTTCTTCATGGAGACAGACAGGTGTAGAGCTAGACAGATCAGAGTTGGCATTCCCACTCTGCCTTTTGATAGCTGATGAATTTTGGAGGGTCACTTGCCCTTTCTGATTCTCGGTTCCCCCCATGCAAAATGGGGCCAATTATAATGGCAAGGTTTAGAACATGTAGATGGGGAAAGGTGGTACCACATAGTTGCTAAAAACTGGTAGTTAATATGCTTCTTGTTGGAGGTGGTGGAACATAGGTTGTTATTATAATTATTTATCAGTTTCCATTATTAATGATTTTGTGATGGCTCATGCCTATAATCCCAGCATTTTAGAAGGCCAAGACGGAAAGATTGTTTGAGACCAGCTGTGCCACATAGCGAAACCCTGTCTCTAGGAAAAAAAAAAAATTAGATAGGCATGGTGGTGCATGCCTGTAGTACCAGCTACTCAAGATGTTGAAGAGGGAGGGGTACTTGAGTCCAGGAGGTTGAGGCTGCAGTGAGCCGTGACCATTCCATTGCACTCCGGCCTGAATGACAGAGTGAGATGCTGCCTAAAAAAAAAGTTCATGAACCTTTTCCTGTCCATATTCTCCCTGAATCCAGGAGGTAACAGGGCACAAGTAATCAGAGCTCATTTAACACCTGAGCTAATCAAGGTTCAGAAAGCTCAGTGTCTCGTCTGAGGCTGCAGAGTCACTGACTTCTGGTCACTGGTGAGATTCAACTCTGCCTCCAAGATGGTGCTCCTGGTTTCTCTGTCTCTGACTCAGGGCAATTCCCCTGCAGACACTCCTCTTATTAATTGGCTCCCTGACCATGCTTTCTGGTCAAACAATGGTGCAGTCATGTATTTTACCCTTGGCCCTCATGATTCTGGCCAAGTTTTTTTTATCTTCCTCCAGTTGGAAAATCAACTCTGAAAATAAAAAGTTCTCCATCACACACAAGTTTCATAGGAGCTAGAGCGAGAAGAGCCCAGTGGTCTAAATGAGGTGAGATCTTTCACTGTAGCCAGGGGGGGTCTTGTGATGAGAGCTGGGCTGATGAGGGGTTGTCCTGACAGCATACGTTTATGTCCGGGAAGCCAAAGCCTTGGAGAATCCACTGAAACCCTTGACAGACTTCTGTTTTTCCTAATGGTGTTGTCTTTATGTTTCTTAAAGATGGAGCCAAGAATAACCATTCCAAGGCACAGTTAGCTTTCCAGGTCATTGACAAGCATGGGAGATCTCTGCTTTCTTTACAAAATGTAAGGGGGGCGAAGATGTCTGAGTGAAACAATGTATGTCTTGTCTTTTTGAGGTCAGCCTCCCAAAACTATTCCCAGTTGCTTCAGTCTCACTGCGGTACCTTTATTTAGAATTTGCTCCACTTTCCTTAATATGTAAGTGGTTTTTTTTAAATAGAAAATATTACTGAAAAACTGGAAGATATTTGAAGTCAGAGTCTTTGAATTTCCTTCTGACTTACAATTGAGAAAACCATAAGGGAAATGAATCATTTTTAAAATTTTAGTTTAGCCCTCAAGTCTGGTTTACTATGAAAAGCTTCAGTTATGGAAAGTTCCTATCCCCAGATTGGACTTGATTTGGGGCCAGGTAGCCCAGCCCTGAAAAGGCACAGACACTGACATATGCTGTATCCATGGCAGATACTAAGATCTAACCTTGTGTTCCACTCTGAGGAATGGGGAGATTTTCGTGGTAGACAATGTATCAGCCTTATTTTCTGCCTGCCTTTTATTTTCCTGTTTTCGTTTTTCCTCTGCCTTATGGCTCACTAATTTTAATTTATTTACTGTGTAAACAAGGAACGCTTCACGCATTTCTGAGGCAACCTTGCATCCCGCAAATCAGCTGTTCTTATTCCAGTTTTAGCTGCGGCCCAAGCCAGTGTGTCATGCATGCCTGGTTTATGCTGTTGTGCTGAAGTGTGTGTATTTTTATGTGCCATTAGTAGGTATTTTATATTTTTTGAGCAAGAAGGCATAAAAGAAACAAATGAATACAAATACATTTTAATTGTTGCAACAAGCTATGATGCAGGCCCCTTGCTTTGCTAGCCATTTCCAGCCCTTCACTGTGTGTGGACATCACCTGGAATCCCTTAACTTATCCTCACCCCTGTCATTTGCTCATTCTGTTCAGGTGGCAAAAATGACTCTGCATGCATTATTTAATTTGATCTTCACAATAATCAGCTCTACAGAGAATCAGGACTTGAAGTCATGGTCTTTCTGTTATTTGTCCATTAAATGCATTTTTAGAGGCACTCCTCTGGGTACTGGGGTTGGGTACATTGTAAACCTGAACTCCCCTAGCTGGCATCCTAGAGGAGAGGTGGACAAGAATCAAAAACCAAAACGTGTGTGTGTGTGTGTGCACGCGCATACAGTTGGATGCTAAGCAGCGGCGCCTGCTCTGAAGAACAACAGAGAAGGTGATGGGAGAGCCCGTGATCGCAGGGGTAGCCCATTGGGTGGGTGGTGGAGAAAATCATCGAGGGAGGGAGACAAGTTGCAGGGAAGGGGCACCCCATGAAGAAGAGGTAAATGCCTCGACTCTCAAGACCGGAGGGCCCTGCACCACTCTGGGGAGACACAGCTAGAAGGTGTTTCATCTGTCTCTCTTGTTTTCTCTCAGACCACAGGATCTATGAATAAAGCATATGGGCTCACACCTACAACCCGGGTCTACAGGTCTCCATCTGAGTGACTCTGTGGCGGCTTAGAGTGAGGACCCTGTGCCCAGGAAGTCAGGAGACCGGGGTTCTGTCTACCTGCCTGATTAGGTCAGGTCCCCTCCACCCTCAGGCCCTGACATTTGCAGCTGGTGCAAGAGGCCAGACTCACCTACGGTCCCTTTCTGGCTCTAACATTTTAACATCTGTTCCAAGATTTTCTTTCACCGGGATAGGCCTGGGCACAGCCCATGGGTCTGATGAATGCTACCTGCGGAGGAGGTTTTGACGGGCGTGACTGTGGACAAGTCCAAGCTTGCCTCTTCCTCCCCAAGACAAAGATCTAGCCTGCGCTGTCACTGCCGCCAAAGGTCCCTTCTTTGGCTAAAATACTCCACCCAGTGGGCAAAACAGAATATGGCACCTTTCTTTGCTCCCGTTCCTCCCTCTTGTGCAGGGAACTCCAACCTGCTGGCCTGGTAGAGGGTGCAGAAACCCACGTGGCTACGGCCCTGTGCCCACGACCTCTCGTGTCCTCTGGTCACGTCAGGCCTGTTAGAAACCCCAAGACTCTCCTTTCCTTCTAACTCTGAGCATCGGGGGGTTCCGGGAGCCTTCCCACTTCCCCAGCACCAGGAAACTCCTCCACAGAACCAAGCAGGATCAATGCCAGCTAGAAAAGGAACCCCCAAACCCCCCCAAGACGACTCCGGATTGTGACAAATGTCACTTCCTCCGAGAGGCCCTCCGTGTGCATCGGGAGCTGATACTCCGCTTACCCACTGTGCTTCTCCTTAGAGACATTCTCCCATGGGGGATTCTCCTCCAGCCAGCTAAACTGAGCCCTGCTGGAGCAGGGATCTGTCCACAGTATTCCTCACAGTCAGCCTTTTGCCTATGGTAGTTTTCACTGGATATTTATTAAATAAATTTGTAGCATAACTTTGGGCCAGGCCTTATTTTAAGTACTTACAAATTTAGCTCCTTTATTCCTCTTAACAACCCTTTGAGGTTGATAATTTGAGTATCCCCATTTAACAGATGGTAAACGGAGGCACAGAGAGGTTAAGTGACTTACCTAGGGTCACATGGCTAGTAATAACAGAGGCAGGGTTTGAACCCAGCAGGCAAACTCTTGTGTCTATCCTCTTCCACTAGAGGCCTCTCTCAAGGGGCTCATGAAGTTACTTAGACAAGCCAGAAATTGCTGCAGGTAATAGCTGGCTGCCCACGTGGTAAGACTGCTTGATCTGGGATACCGTCCTAGTTTTTAGCCCTGCGCCAAATCACCTCCTCTACTTTCTGAGCACATAGGAAGAGAACTAACAGGAAGGAACTAATGTTTTCAGTGCTTGCTGTGGGCCAGCCACTGGGCTCATTATATTTTATATTAATATATCATCTCGCTTCAATCTCATCAAACCAGGTATTTTTCCTTCCATTTCACAGATGAGAAAACGAAGGTTCAGCAAGGTCAAGTAATGTGTCCAAGTTACCCAGCTGGTAAGTGGCAGAGACTA